AGTCCATGTCACAGCAGTGGTTTCTACAGTAATTTTATGAAGTTACGAGAATACTTTGTGTGTGCAAAGAAAACAAAAATAATGAATTTATTCAACAATTCGTCGTCTCCGCATCACCCTGGCACCATTTTGGAGAGTATCACATACGTAAACAATGTATGCAACGTATGTATGAAAATACGTTGTTTATGCTTTGATCTGAACGTAAACAACGTATTCTTTGCGCACAAAAAGTATTCTCGTAGCTTCGTAAAATTACAGTTGATCCACTGATGATGTCACATTAATTATTTTAACAATGTGCTGAAATGCATTATTGAGAAGGTCAGAGAATTTCATCAAATATCTTAATTCATCAAATATCTTAATTTGTGTTTCGAAGATGAACAAAGGTCTTACAGGTTTGGAACGACATGAAGGTGAGTAATTAATAACAGAAGTTTCATTTTTGGGTGAACTATCCCTTTAAAGTTTGGTACCATTTCAAAGCTGAGCAGCATGCTCTTCAGACGATCAATTTCCTCTCGCAGTTCTCTGATCAACCTCACATTGGCATCCTGAGATAAAACAAAATGTTTTATTTTAGTTTCATTAACATAATTTTCTGTTGATGGTGGTACAGCAAGTTCTACAAACATTTGGACACATCTGAACACACCTCATTGACTCTTGGCTTGTTGACGATGTTCCTGGCGTGAGCAATGATATGCAAGTGCTATAACAAGTCTCAGTTAGCATAACGGTACACGTAGCAAGTTTTTTTTTATTATTATATAATAAATTAAAAAAAGAAAACTGATAGAATAGAAAAAGAATAGAGCAAGCTAGTGTTACAGGCCTTTTTTGCTTTTGTTAATTGTATAATAAATAAAAAGAAAACAAATAGATAGAATACAAAAAGATTAGAAAAGCTAGTGTTAATTTTTTTTTTTTAAAGAAAACAAGCAGTAAATGAATAGAGTGCAAGTCTAAAAGGGACAATTTTTTTTTTTTTTAGAATAGAATTAGAATAGAGAGTGCTAGAGTTAGAGGGTCAAATAAAGATGGAAGAGATGTGTTTTTAGGACTCAGCTACTCGGATTGAGTTGGGCAGGCCATTCCACCAGTAGGGAACATTTAATTTAAAAGTCAGTGAAAGTGATTTTGTGCCTCTTTGGGATGGCACAATAAAGCGACGTTCACTTGCAGAACGCAAGCTTCTAGAGGGCACAGTGCAAATTGATAAACAGAGGTGTGACGTGCATTCTTTTTGGCTCATTAAAAATGTATCTTGCTGCCACGTTCTGGATTAATTGTAAAGGTTTGATAGAATTGGCTGGAAGACCTGCCAAGAGAGCATTGCAATAGTCCAGCCTGGACAGAACAAGAGCTTGAACAAGGAGTTGAGAAGCATTTCCTGAAAGAAAGGGCCTGATCTTCTTGATGTTGAATAAAACAAATCTGCAGGACCGGGTTTTAACGATGTGGTCTGAGAAAGTCAGCTGATCATCAATCATAAATCCAAGGTTTCTGGCTGTTTTTGAAGGAGTTATGGTTGATGAGCCTAACTGGATGGTGAAATTGTGATGAAACGATGGGTTTGATGAAACCACAAGAAGTTTTGTCTTGGCAAGGTTGAGTTGAAGGTGATGGCTTTATCCAGCAAGAATTGTCTGTTAGACAAGCTGAGATGTGAGCAGCTATCGTCGGATCATCAGGATAGTCGGTAGAGAGGTAGAGTTGAGTGTCATCAGCATAGCAGTGATATGAAAAGCCATGTTTCTGAATGACAGAAACTAGTGATGCCATGCAGACAGAGAAGTAGGGTTGACAGGAGGATCTGGTGGTTAACCGTGTCAACGGGTATTTATTTTTAAATCTTATAATAATATAGTTATAATATATAAATTAATACATTTTACTTTGGTTAATAAATGTATTAATCAAAAAAATGAGGAAATGATCATAGAATTTATATTTTTGTGTGAACTGTCCTTATAAGAGAGACTATAATAACATAAGAAATAAATGAAAAAAGAGACAAGTCCTTGATTACATCAGCAAGGATGGTAAAATCATTTAGTCCTGATCTAAAAAAAATAATGTATAACCCAGATTAAGTGCCTTCACCTTATAAAACTCGTCCTTTCATTATGAAGGAGTCATGCTGGGATACCCTCTCAACACCAACCACAGAGACTGAATGAGTCACCGGAGAGAAAACTCATCAGCGTCCTGAGAGAGTGACTCAGAGACTGATCCACTGAATATCAAATATCTAACTGTAAATAGACGTCCTCTGAGGCATCCAGGGACAGTATCTGTCCTCTTAAGAGAGATAATACAATCATAACTGACAATCTACAGGATACAGTCTTTAACAAGCCCCTGTAAACACTGTGTCACATATCTGATAAATAAAATCCATTTATAAATGTAATCTCAGCCTCATAAAGCCTCATATTTCCTGCTTTTTGTCGACAGCTGTAGCTGTTTCGGTAGATTTGCTTGTTCTTCCCAGGCTGCTGATCTGTGCTGGTCTACCATAAGCCTCTCAGCGTTGATAAAGGGCCGTTTGAGTGTGTCTGAAGTGCTGAGTCACTTACCTTGCTGTAGACTCAGGCCCAAATACAACTCTTATTATAGAGATAGTCCACTAAAAATGAAATTCTGTCATCGTTTACTCACCCTCATGTCATTAATAGAAGTTATTAATGTTAAATGGAGCTGTGTGTGTTTGTCAGAGGGAAGGAGAGCAGGTGGAGGTGTGGGTGGTGATATTAATTAGCGGGGTTTTGAAACCTCTCACCTTTGAGAGCTCCGTTAGGAATCTCTGTCAGCTTAACTCTTAAATCACCACGACGGGTCCAGTACTTGCTCTTCAGCTAAAAAATGTATAATTTGCAGTTTGATCAGGGGCATGTGATGCTGTTCTGTACGTTCACACTGTCAGTTGAGTTTGGCACACTTCCTTTATGAGACTTCGTGAACTAGGGATGTCAGATGATTGTTCTTTTGAACTGGTTTTAGTCAAACTGATTCACAAAACATTTGTGAATCACTTGACTGTATGAACACCTGTTTGGGAGTTATATATATATAACGGATATATAACAAATGAGTTCTTTCTATCAAGTCGAATGATTTGCAAAGCATTTCTGAATCACTCATTAGAACTGCATAAAAGGTGACATACTTAAAAAAACATAACTGAAAACATACTTTTTTCTTATAAATTAAACCAAATGTTTAAATTAAATTAACCAAATATTTAATATATAGTTAAATTATATGTGTATAATTTTTTTATGCATATTATATATAATATTTAAATATGATTAATAACAAATATTTATTATTTTCAAATAAAAAAAAATAACAATATTATTAAATAAGCTAAATAAACATTTACTTAAATATATTTAAATGATTTAACACTGCTTCTGATTATGATAGAGTTCTGTAAAATATTATGAACTATCAAACTAAAAGGTGGGTGACATGCTGAAATCATAAACAATATTTCATATAATCTATTGTACAGAAACTTAAGAAAAACACTATTTACAGTATATAAATTAAACCAAGTAATTTATTATTATTATTATTATTATTATGTAATGAAATAATAATAATAATACATAAAATAGCAACTAATATATCAATAATATAAAAAATACTTATATTATGTAAATAATATAAAAATGTATACCTATATTATGAACATAAATTGACATAAAATTCAATTATATTATTATTATTATGTTATCATCATAATATTATATATCGTAATAAATTCATAATAAATGGTCACAATAAATTAAAAATAATAAAGTGATAAAAACAGTAATATTATTGAAGCAAAATAAACATTTACTTAAGTATTTAAAGATGTTACTTTTTTTGTAAAATACATTATGATCTTATGAAAGATCTTACAAGTGATTAATTAAGTGATCTTCATTTTGAAATCAATTTGTTTACCAATCAAACGACAGTAAATAATTCAGCAAGTTTAAAAATAGAGTATGTTTCTGTAGACTGACACCATCTAGACCAGGTCTCTGCCACTGCTCATGTCCCTCATTTCTCCTCTTGCTGATTAAGACTGAAGACATAATGTGGGCCGGCTTGGCAGGAACAGATATAAATACGCCTGCACCCTTCATCACTTTTTAATCAAGAGAGTGATTACGCCGTGGCAGTGTGAGCGTCTCAGAAACTCTCTCTACTTTCCTCCGGCACAGATTTAGACAGTGTCTGCTACCAGGCTTTATTTAATGTTGTAAATACTGCCCTCTCAGATAACACTCATCACTCCTGTGACTCTCCTCTAGGACACTGCAGTGATGTTGACCTGCTGTCTCCTCCAGTATCATGTTCATCTGTGTGGATGAAGTCTGTTAAGATTATATATTGAGATCTATTTTGATTTGTTTTAGATCACGGCTGGCAAAACGCCACATCCCGTAAAAACCTCCCTGCTCAAAGAGCTCCATTGTACTAGGAGAAGGGAAACGAGTTCAGAGTTAATGTGTCTTTCTTGTTTCTCTGCAGGCATGCTAACTATCACAGACTTCATCAACATACTTCACAGATACTACAAATCACCCATGGTATGTAATGCATTCTGTCTTACGTTATTTTTTCTAGTTTTCAGAAGAAATGCTGAAGTCCTTGGCCAGAAATGTACTCTCAATTTCAGACTCTATTGTGTTAATATTATATTATATATTCTATAATGTCATATTATTTTTATTCTTTAATTTAGCTATTGATTATTTTATTATTAGTTCATTTATTTTCCTTTTTTTTTTATATAACAGAACTTTTTATATGGCATTTCTTATATTTTTTCTCGTTTTCAGCAGAAATAGTGAACTCCTAGGCCTGAAACATAATCTTGATTTCATGCACCATTGTTTTAGGAAATGTTATTTTATTTTATTTGTATATTTTATTTATTTTAAGAAATACTGAACATACTAAATACTGAATACTCCATTGTGTTTATAAATTTCATAGTACATTTTTATTGATGTATCTATTTATTCTTTTTTACTTCTTTTTTATTTATCTTTTGTTACATTTTATTTTTTTATTTGATTAAAGTTAAGACTTAACTTTGTATATGGCCTTTCTTATATTTTTTTCCAGTTTTCAGACAAAATTCTGAACTTTTAGGCCTGAAACATCTTGATTATTTTATTTTATTTTATTTTATTTTATTTTATTTTATTTTATTTTATTATTTTATTTTTGCTTGGTCACTGATAGCGAATGTAGATGTATACAGTGAAAGTGCTGCGTTTAGCTTTGCCGGCTGGCAGACGGGCTGTTTATAGCCATGAGCCTTTCGTGAACCTCACGTCATTTATAATAACCTACAGTGCTCTGCAATTACTGTGTTCAGATCACACTGAGCTCAGGAATCAGGATTAAACGTTCCAGAAACACCTCAGCATCTGTTGTCTTTTGTGCCAATAATTGCTCATGCAAAGTAATTAAATTGATGTGGATAGTAAATAAATTGCTTGTTTTCTCACATCGGTTATGAAGTTATACTGCTGTAATTTAACATTATCATTAATTTTCGATATGGAGTTGCTTCTTACGATATAATTCACTGCCTCAAATTCACCGTACAAACTTCTCTTCCTGCTCATCAGTATTTATAAGCTCATATCCTTGTTTTTGCATTTTGTTCTTAAATACAGATTCATGTGAATTTATGCAAGAGCAAAGAAACCACTAATCACTTTGAGTAAAAGCAACATCCTCTCATCTTTTCACATCCCATCAGTTCTTTTCTGCAGACACAGGAAGTAGTTGAAAATGCTGTAAAGCTTCTTCCTGCGTTTAGAGAAAAGGCACAGCTGTGGCTTAATTATTTATATTCATACAACATACTGACAATAATCTCCACTAGACTAACAAAAAAAACCTTCAGAAATCATTCTAACATGATGATTTGGTGCTTAAGAATTTTTTGTAATTATTATTATCAATGTTGAAAACAGTTGTGCTGGTTAATATTTTTGTGGAAAGTTCAAAGAAAGTTCAAAAGAACAGCATTTGTTTGAAATGGTAATCTTTTGTAATATTATAAATGTATTTTTAGCATCACTTTTGATTATTTAATGCATTCTTTCTGAATAAAAATAATAATTTCTGTAAAAAAAAAAAAAGGACTGAACCCTAAACATTTATATCCTTTATGTTTTACTTAAAAAGAAAGTGAGCTGCAAAAATAGGTCATGATTTGGCCCACATTTAGATATCAACACCAGTTCAGTATTGAGCAATTTAACCTGACCTAATAAATAATCCAGCAAACTATAAAACTATCCGAAAAGATTAACAAGTTCTTACAGAAATCATTCACACACGGAAGTCTTAAATGTACAGCATTCTGTGTAGTGGACTTCATATCTACAAAATCTTTATATAGAATTTATATCTACAATAAAGAATATGTCCCCTTTAAGCTCTGTCACATGCTCGCAAGCGCTCTCTCACAAGCATTGCCCTCCAGAGCCTCCAAGAAATCGTGAGCTTCAGCATTAACCCATTTTCCTGTCCCTTCGGTCTTATCACGCACTGAAAGTTGCACACGCGCATGCAAGAGCTCGTGTCCACAGTAATCATTAGCTAACATATGGAAGCAGGAGGCTGTGCATCCTCTGATCAGCCGTGCTTTTATGATTAGTCATGTGGGTTTAGACGTTAGCCTGCATCAGCAGTGTAGTGCGGCTCTTTAATTGGTGCCGCTGTGGGAAGCCTGCTGTTTAGATGATGTGCGTCTCACTTTCACTTAGTCAGCGTTACTGTTTCTAAGGGTCGGGACTACAATCCTGCATCACTTTTTACCAGTTCCAGAAATCAGTGCCTAAAGCTGTTCTTGGTTTCTGAACACACATCTGTACCTCGTCTGTCTCAAATTCTCACTACTCAACAGATGCCTGTGTCACATTGTGTTGCAGGAAATTTGTATGAATTTTTTTTAATAAAGAAATGCCTTGGTTTTGGCCAAATGAGGAAAGTTAATGTTCGCTTTGCTCACAATGGCTCAAGAGCTTATAATATTATTAATTATAAAATATAGGGATGCAACAAAATTTTGGCCACTGAAAATTATCAGCTGAAAATGGCATTTTCGGTTTTTGGCCGAAAGAGAAAAATGGCCAGAAATATGCACGGAAAACATATTCTGATTCTGTTGCATAGAACTGAATAAACATAATATATTGATATTTAATATTAATATATTTTCGGTCCAATTTTATTGTTGTACTTTTGGTAAAAGTGTGGTTAATTTATTAGCTTGTATTAAATTAAGTTAAATTAAAAAGTCTTACAAAATTATTCTATATTATTATATTACTGTATTGTATTATTGTATTGTATTTTGTAGTATTTCATAATAAATGATTATTGAAAAGCATTTTCGGTTTCGGTTTTCATCCAAGTGCATCCAGAATTTTCGGTTTTGGCTTCGGCCCAGAATTTTCATTTCGGTGTATCCCTAATGAAATATGTTCATTTACATAATAATCATCATCGTCATTATTATTATTGTCATTATTATTATTATTATTATTATTATTATTATTATAAACATTTAAACTTGTTATTATAAACCTAAATGTCTAATTATAATGCTAACAACAACAACAACAATGATAATAATAATATATTATTATTATTATTATTGTTATTGTTACTATAAATAAATATGGATTTTCAATAAGTTACACATTGCTTTTAAGTTACATCAAGATTGTTAGATGTGTTTTTATATAATAATAATAATAATGATCATAAAAGTCATATTATTATAATATTTTTTATTAGCATGATGATAATTATTGTTATTATTATAAGTATGGTTTGTTAATGTTACATAGTGCTATTTTATGTTACATAATTTAGATTTGAATTTTTTTAGAATAAAATAATATAATTGATTACAATAACTTTATTATAATAAAAATATAGAAATTATACTAATATTATATATAATATAATTATACTTATATTTAAATGTAATTCTACTACTACTAACTGCTACTATTACTACTACTGTACTACTACTACTAATAATAATTATAATTATTATTATTACTGTATACTGTGAGAATTTCATTAAAATGTGAATATGTTTGCAATTTGAGTAACAATCTCTTGTTTTGTTTCAGGTACAAATCTATGAGCTTGAGGAGCATAAAATTGAGACGTGGAGAGGTAAGAAATCTTCACAGGTGGTTCTTTCTAGTGCTTCGTGTTTTATGCTTTTCTAGATGTTATATTTCATGTTTCCTTTTTTTCTTTTTTTACAACAGAGCTCTATCTACAAGAAACATTTAAGCCTTTAGTGAACATATCTCCAGATGCAAGGTAAGAGCAATTCATTTCTGTGTTAGCATGCATGTCATTTATTGCCTTACTATGGGAAGTTGCATGCTGTAGGGTGATCTTATTTTCAGTGTATTAAATAATTCAGTGCACGTAGTCTTGAAGGGCAAACCTCTGAATTTCATCAGGGTCCTCTGAAGTCTCCCTTCTGTTCCCTATGTCACCGCAGTGAAATTGACATTCTCTGTCTCTGTATGTTTTGTGTTTCAGCATATTTGATGCTGTGTATTCACTGATCAAAAACAAGATCCACCGGTTACCCGTCATCGACCCTGTCAGTGGAAATGCACTTTACATTTTGACGCACAAAAGGATCCTGAAATTCCTTCAGCTGTTTGTAAGTTCATTAATGTGTATCACTTGTGCATTTAGTAAGGTTTTAGCTGGCTGGTTTTGGCAGGGTTTGAGGTTTAACTGATGCTGTAATGAAGCGCACAGTCATTTCCTCCAGAGTGACAAAGAATGAGGAAGGAATTGAATGAATAAGTATGTTCTATGTGTATCACTTGTGCATTTAGTAAGGTTTTAGCTGGCTGGTTTTGGCAGGGTTTGAGGTTTAACTGATGCTGTAATGAAGCGCACAGTCATTTCCTCCAGAGTGACAAAGAATGAGGAAGGAATTGAATGAATAGGATGAAAAAGTGCAGAGGAAGGGAGGGGTAGAGCAGATGAAGAGGAAGAGGAAGAGACAGTCCCTAGATTAATGTCATCTATCTGATCACAATTCCATGGCCTTTTATATACTTCAGCAGTGTAAACAGCTTCCATCTCTCACAAAGTATTTGAAAGACAGAGGTTAGTTAAAGTCTCAGCAGTATAGCTTGCATAGAACTGCACTGCAGGGGAAAATAAAATGTACTTTGTATACTAAAAAGTCTCAGAAAGTGTTTTTTGTTTGACAAACAGGGCAGACAGCCAATATAATTCCTATTATTACTAGAATTATTCATGTTCTTATGTTGCTTGAATTATAAAATATTCAAAAGCTGAAAGTAGCTTGTGTTTATGTGTCTCAGGTGTGTGAGATGCCAAAGCCCGCCTTTATGAAGCAGAAACTGGAGGAGCTGAGCATTGGGACCTACAGCAACATTGCCTTCATCCACCCCGACACGCCAATCATCAAAGCACTCAGCATCTTTGTGGAGAGGAGAGTGTCAGCACTGCCTGTGGTGGATGAGTCAGGTATGATTCAAAAGAAAAGAGACAGATTTTGTGTATTCCAATACTCTTACACTCATGAAATTACTTATTTAAAACTTTTTCCTGTGTATTTTTGCCTTTTAGGAAAAGTTGTAGATATTTATTCCAAATTTGATGTCATTGTAAGTACAGTATATGTATTTATTTTATTGTTGAATGTGGAAAACGTTTGACCTGTACTACAGACGTTAATTATCTTTGTGTGTTTGTAGAATCTTGCTGCTGAAAAGATGTACAACAACCTGGACATTAGTGTGACACAGGCACTGATGCACAGGTCACAGTACTTTGAAGGGGTCATGAAGTGCAACAGATTTGAGACACTGGAAACGATAGTAGATCGTATAGTCAAGGCTGAGGTGAGCTTTCCCATTGTCTTCCTTTCTGTCCTCATAAATCTGCAACCTTTTTTATTATGACCAAAAATGGATATGTACTTGCTTTTCTTTAGATGCTTTAGGTCACTATTGAGGAAATAAGCTAGACTAGCTCTTTGTAGTATGTATTCTGCAACTGCTCTTGCTCTTTATAGAGGAACATTTTTTGAGTTGTTCTTGGTAATTTATTTTAGAACAGCTCTTTGTAATAGGTATTATACATCTGCTCTTGGTAACAGTCAACAGTTGCTCTAACTCTTTATAGAGGAAGTATTGTAAAGTTGCTCTTGGTGATATATTCTAGAGCAGATCTTGCTTATAGATAGGCAGGTCTTCATAGTCGTTTCTCTAGTTCAGTACAGATGAGATATGCTGGAGCTGTAATAGATATTGTGCAAATGTTCTTGCTCTTTATAGAGGAAAAATTTTTGTGTTGCCCTTAGTAATTTATTCTAGAGCATCTCTTGGATATATATTTACTCTGGTAACATTTAGCAGGTGCTTAACCTCTTTATAGAAAAAAAATAGTCACTCTTAGTAATAGATATTCTAGAGCAGCGCTTGGTAAGGTATTTTATACAGTGCTTTAAAAAAGTCAAAAGTTGCTCTTGTTTTTTGTACAGGAAATATTTTAGAATTGCTCTTGGTAATATATTCTAGAGCAGATCTTGCTAATAGTAATTATGCAGCTGCTCTTTTTTTTCAACAGTTGCTCTTGTTCTTTATAGTGGTGATGTTCTAGCCTTGCTCCTTTTATATACTCTTTTTATATGCTCTTATTTAGATATACTATAGATGCTCTAGATATATACCTAAGATCTAAATAGATATTCTATATAGATATTCAACAACTGCTTTTTGTCTTTATAGAGGAAATTGTTCAAGTTACTCTTGGTAATGTATTCTAGAGATAGAAGAGATATTCTAGATAATCTGAGTAATAGATGCTCTAGAGCTGCTCTTTGGTAATATTTTTGTGTCACACTTGGTTCCATATATTCTATAGCTGTTCTAATTCACTATAGAAAATATATTCTATGGTGATATAGATGGGTTATTCTAGATCAACTGGGTAACAGATGCTCTAGAGCTGCTCTTAGCCGTTATTGTGATCATGTTTTAGTGTGGCTCTTGTTTGTAGATATTCAAGAGCTTCTCTAATTCACTATAGAGGAGATATGCTTGAGTTGTTCTTGGTCTTTGCTTTTGTTTCTGTTACTCTAGAAGGTATATTCTAGATCAACTGGTTAATAGATGCTCCAGAGCTGCTGTTAGTTGTTACAGAGGTGTTATTCTTGTCACTCTTGTTTCTAGATATTATAGACCTGCTCTAGTTCGCTATAGATGTGATATTCTAGATCAACTGGGTAACAGATGCTCTAGAGCTGCTCTTAGTCTTTATAGAGGTGTTATTTTTGTTACTCTTGTTTCTAGATATTATAGAGGTGCTCTAGTTCACTGTAGATGGGTTATTCTTGATCAACTGGGTAACAGATGCTCTAGAGCTACTCTTAGACTTTATTGAGATCATATTTTAGTGACTCTTGTTTGTAGATATTCAAGAGCTTCTCTAATTCACTATAGAGGAGATATGCTAGAGTGGCTCTTTAACTTTGCTTTAGGTTCTCAATATTTTAGAGCTACTCTAGGTCACAAAAGTGGAGATAGTCTAGAGATGTTCGTTTTCCTAGATACTCTAGGACTGCTCTAGATGCTGATGTGTATCTGTCCTCGGTCAGGTGCACAGACTGGTGGTGGTGGATGAGAACGGCAGCATCGTGGGCATCGTCTCTCTGTCGGACATCCTCCAGGCACTTGTTCTCAACCCCGCAGGTATCAATGCTCAGCATTCCTAAAGCACATTTCCAGCAGGACCCTCCTCCTCCCATCCTCTCTCGCCCGAGCCACAGGTACTACCTCCACTGCTGAGGTCAAGGAGACGGTGCATGACTTCTGCCTGGCTCATGATGTGTGCGAGGATGGCATGTGCCAACTTATACTTTCTGTTTCCACCACAGAACCAGACATGATTGGCTTTGATTCCAGAGGGCAGTGTGTGTGTGTATATGTGTGCACGCCCACATTTCACCGCATATGATTTTGATTAATGAGGCACTTGCAGTACATCAGAGCCCCTCCCACTGCAGGGCTTCCTGTCTGCTGATGGATAGTGTCCTGCAGTAACTCAACCACACGCTCTGTCCATGCATACACATAATGTCGTAGGTCTTCCCACTAAGATCATTATACATTTCTGCTCATAAATTTACATACCCTAGCAAAATATGGAAAATGTTCATTGTTTTAACAAAATAAGAGGATCATATTATTTTTTAATACTGTCCTGAATGAGCTGTTTTGCATAACAAATGTTTACATATGGTGCACAAGACAAAATAATAATCTAATGTATATAAATGAACCAAAAGTTTGAATTTAATAATAATTTAATGTCATTATATGGATGATCAACAACTGTTTTTGTTTTTTGATAGTTGTTCATGAGTTCTTGTTCTGAGCAGTTAAACTGCTCATTTTTCTTCAGAAAAATCCTTCAGGTCCTGCACATTCTTTGGTTTTCTAGCATCTTCTGCATATTTGAACCCTTTCCAACAGTGACTATGATTTTGAAATCCATCTTCACACACTTATACAACATACAACTATTACAAAAGGTGAAAACATTCACTGATGCTTAAGAAGGAATCACGATTAATTAAGAGCAGAGTGTGTTACAGGGAGTGTAATTTTTTTCATTTAATATTGCCCTTCAGAAGCTACTTAAGATGTGTATGTTTCACAGATTTTCAGTTTTGTTACAAAAAAAAGGGAATGTAAACTTATAAACAGAACTGCATAACCAATAAATATGATGTACATCTATGACGGACATCTAAATCAAAATCAGATGATGGGACATAATACACGTCTCTCTATTTAACTCAAACTTTCTGGATTTCCTTCTGAGAGGTCACTGTGTGCTGGGTGTCTGCCTTGTTGGCTGTGAATTTATAATACTGCATATTAATTGCTTCTGTGAAGAGTGTTATGAATCCTAAGTAGCAGATGTGATGCTGCTAATATTGCAAATAGTATGCGCAGATCAAAAGACATTCTGCCCTGTGGTTGGTCCTGCTCCTGGAGATGGACCTTCCTGCAACTTATATAAAACACTCTAAACCAGATGATTTTGACAGAGCACTGCAGTGATGATGTATTTTTGTAGGCCAACCCAAGAATTAGCATCACCCTGGATCCCTTGACAAAATCCCAACAGGATTTTTCCATTGGTTTTTGGATTATTGCAGAAAATAAGCTCCCTGACCAATAAAAAAGTGATTAGTATGTTTTGTTTATCTTCACAAGTGAACACAACTTTAATGAATTTTAAATCAAAAATGTCACCACCATGAAGCTTCTATCAACTCTTTCAGTTTTTATTAAAAAAAATACATTTTCCCTGAATGTGTGAGTTAGAATAGTTTGCAAGAGTACGATTAAAAACACTACAAAGCTGTAAAAGGGCACTAGTTTAGTTAAATGCTAATTTCTGGGTTTGGGCCTATAAAAATACTTCATCCTTATTACTAGCAGGTGGACTACAGGCTGTCTAGAACTAAATTCGGCAGGAATCCATGTATGTCTCTGTGCAGCCTTAGTTGAAAATACATGCTCACAAGCTGCCTACTAGTGGTTGTAAGCAGTATTGCAACTAAAAAAGACCTCTTTTACATATTGTCTACTCTTTTGCAGGTATGACCCGGAAGGAGAGCGAAGCAGAGACGGAGTGATGCTAGCGGAGATTGCTGGGTCATGTGATGTTGCTGTAAGAGACTGAAGTGGAAGCGGAGACCACAAGTTTGGGCCACATCTCAGAATGAAAGAGTGGAACCAGGGAACTTGACCTAGATGTGCGCTGTTAGATCACAAATGAAGAGTTACACGGACTGGTTATTTGGTCTGTTATCTGATTTCTAGATGGACGTATTGGCCGTATGGGGCGATTAAGGTGGATCATCTCTTATTCAGAAGGATACTGTGAACTCTACCTATTATATCACACTAAGCTTCTGCACGCACACTATGATAACTATACCTTTAGCTAGACCTAAAACTACGCCATCTGGTGTTTGAATAGTGGTCTGCACACAGACTACGGACTGTACCATAATCGCCTCTGTTGGAGGGGGGTGTCTGTGCGTTCGCAGGGCATTCAGTAATAATCTCAGTATTCAGTGCATGTTATGACTGTTTGTTCCTCGTGTATATACGATTTTCGGCTTGTGGCGTATGAGCCAGTTCACATATTTGTACTTTTGACTACTCCTGAATTTAGGAACTCGTTTAGTCTTTCTCCGCCACAGTCCCTTTGTAAATGCAGACAGAAATGCTTTCCTCTGTATCTGTCTATGGTGCCTTCTGTCCAGCAGTTATCGCCCACTACTGGTTGCCAATAGAACAAGATTAATTGAATGTTTAAATATATCAAAGTGAATGTTACAGTTGTTTAAAAAACCAAAAGCCCCGTTTTGCTGTTTTAGTGCGTGTCACTGATTTTATTTATTGCAGAGCTCGACATTTCTTCACTTTGGGTGTTCATTATTTTCTTGATGTTTTTGAAATGATGCTGTAAATGATAATTAAAATGTTTATTTATTTATATTTAACACTTTTGTAATTTTAAAAGCGATATCTAAGTGTGAGATGGAAAGATCTATGGAGCCCCTATGCAGTAAAACCACGTGCTGATCAATGTCTTGATGTTCAATGCAATTCAACCTTAAAATCCCATCTTTTTTTTTCCTGTCCATGAGGCGACTGACCTCTTGTTTGTATCAATTGTACTGTACACGCACGCAGAGCTTCTGTCTGAGGAATCTACAAGCGCAAGAGAAAGGTCTATTTTTTTGTGTGTTCGATGTTTGTAATACTTCATATTTTAAGTTTTCGTCATTTGTTTTTGCAGATGTTACTGTTGTTGTTGTTATGAAAGAGTAATGTCCAGAGATAAATTCACATCACTGGCATGAGAATGCTAAAGGATAATCATGCTTCAGATTCGTTTTTTATTTACAGTTAAATAAAAACGAATAAACAAAATCTGAAACATTTTTGTGTTGTTTGGCAAGCCATTTTTACAACATAAAACACACACACACACACACA